TCCCCCAAACATCAAATTTATAAAATGGACACCCAGTTCTCTGTCGTATAATGCATCAGAGAAAGAAAAACCTTTGGACGCATAATTTTTATGAATTTTTCTTAATAAGTGTACTGTATTATGTTTTAAATATTCATTAATTAAAAAATATTTTGTAATATAAATTGTATTGCATTGCAAAACAGTGGAGCCTTCATTAATTTGCTTGAAAATAATGGAAAAATTAGAACATTGAAGGAACTATAAGGGGTAATTAAGTAACAAGAAGTCAAGAACTGTAATAGGGTGGGGGGATTTGCTGGTTCTTTTGTTTCTTGTTATGTTATTACAATTAAAGCAACCAAAGCAATGTTGGTTGGTAAGACGTTAACCATTCCATTTGGGAACGAAACTGGTCTCTGTTAAAAAATACAAACAAACTAATAAAGCTTGGCATCTCTGCTTTTTTTGTACTGACTTTGTCCCTACTTACCCAGCTTTCATATATGGTCCAAAATTTATATAAACATTCTAAAATTATGCATGTGTGGTTGTGCATGAAAAGGAAGGGACCTCATTCTTTTGCCAACCATCAGAAGCCTTGCTGTTTTCGTCTTGTAGGGAATTATATAAATTAGGAACCAAAGCTTTTTTGTTAAGCATTGTTTTGGATGATTGGGTTTCAAGAATTGGTCCTGAAGTACTTTTAGTTTCTTGGAATCATGAGTAGTTGAATGTCTTAAATACGCTGGTTTAGTTTGTAAGATTTGTAATGCTTCTGGTAATGATTCAATAATTAAAGTAGATGGCCCTCATGGCTTAATTTATTTAGTATGAGTAGTACTAACTTTTTTAATTTGCAGCATTTATAATATTATTAAAAAAAAAGCTGCTGCAAGGGGAGTTTTTTAATTGATGTGGTTTTATGTTCCTTTTACTGGTGGTGTTCTGTTTTTTGGTATGATGTTTTTGTTTGTTAATTGCTAGTAGAGAATATTTTTGGTTATTGTTGATGTTTATAGGTAGAAGTACCCCTTACACTTCATCTAATAAAATTTTTCATTTTGTTTATAAAAAAAATGTTATTAAAAAAAATATTTTACAATTCAAATGGTAAAATACTAATTATTTGTAGTTTGTAAGGCATCAAATTACAAAACACTAGACTCTAGTATTATATATTACTCAATTTGAGATATCATTAAATCAAATCCTTCGTGACACTAGGAGTCTGGGAGAAGAAACAAAATAAAAATCAAGCTTCAACAAGACTAAAATTTTGTGGTCCATGTGTATTAATTGCTAGTGGTCCAATGACATATATATTTGTCTTTTTTTTTTTGAAAGGCAAAGATTTTTTTTTTATTTTTTATTTAGTGAGTACAAGGGGTACTCGATCCCTTATACATTAATCAACACCAGTTGAAATGAAAGTACAGCATTAGGAAGTTCATTACAAAATCTTGCAACATCTGGGGTTGAGAATCCAATCAGAAAAACAAAATCGTCCTTCCTTTCCTTTGTTTTTGACCCAAAGGAAGGCTTGAACCTGAATTTGATCAAAAGTCTTTGTCGAATCAAATGATCCACCTCTAAAGATTAAGTTGTTCCTGGTAGTCCAGATGGCCCAAACAAGAGAAAACCAAACCGTGACCCAACCCAGCCGTTCATTACTTTTAGCGACTAAGGATTCATGTTGGATGAAAGAATCCCAACATGAACCAGCAATGGCTGTAGAGAAGCCCCACCATTGGTAACACATTGCCCAGATTTTTGCAGTAGCCGGACAGTGGAGAAAAAGATGGTTGCTGTCTTCCATATTCTGTCCACAAAGACTACAATTTGTGGCCTCCATCTCCTTAATTAATCCCCTTCTCAACAAGTTAATTTTTGAAGGAATCCTATCAAGTAATAGCAACCAAGTGAACCCACAGACTTTACTTGGAATCATGGGGTTCCAAATCTTCTCAAAAATTTGTCGGTAAGGTGAGGGTTGATGTTGGATCAAAGTAGTATATCCTGAGCTAGCTGAGTAGTCTCCCAATTTATCTGGTTCCCAGGTCCAAGTGTCTTCCTTCCCTCTGGTCAAGTTGATCTTCTTGAGTAGTCCTTTGAGTTCTTGCATGGATTCTTGTTCCCAAGAGTGCAAGGCACGTCTCCAAGGAAGGTTCCAAACCCATTTGTTGCCTTCCCATCTACCCATCTCATCAATTGTGTTGTCTTTCCCTGTAGAGAGCAAATATAGTCTTGGAAAGACATTAGCAAGCACCTCAGCACTATTCCATGGATCCTTCCAAAAACTAATATTCTGTCCATTACCAATTCTAATTTGGAAGCCC